TGGCCATGCACGGCCATTTGTTTTGTTCCCATATCAAGACTAAGTCACACTTTAGCCATAACCAACCCCCATTTCTAGGGGTGCTCCAGCAGCCCTAAACTCCCCTAAGCCTCACCTTAGCAGCCAAGAAAGGGTAAAGTCTTAGGACCGATAACTCAAAACCCAGTTCTCCATCAAGCCCAACATACAAGCCCAAATGTGGTTTAATTCTAAAAATAATTAGCAATAGAAGGAGTAGCCCACCAAGCTTATATATTGGATTTGGAACCTTTTTCCGATGTGGAATTGATTTTGCATACCCTACATAAAGTAACTAATGTTTATGCTGGCCTAATACAAGATCTACCGTGAAAATCATAAGAAAATAACAAAAATAATAAGATAAAATTGAATAACAACTTAGCATAAATATAATATAATAAAGGCAAGTAAATCTCGATAAATATCGGAGAAATAGCATGCTTTAGAGCATCTTCAATGTATTAATGTTGTTATTGTATAAATTTTAATAAATGTCAATTAACTAGATGCATAATGAACCATATAAGATTTAAATCTAAAATTTTTATCCCCAATGCACAATATAATCAAACACAATATTGTCCACTTGACCAAAATAAGAAAAAATATCATATATTTTGAAAATGGTAATAATATTTATTTTTTCTCTCTCCATTGGTTGACTAAACGTGAAAGAGAATGTGGAGAGCCCTCATTCTCCTCTACATTGTATGATTAATTACGTCTACTACATCAATGCATTTGTGATCACATTGTGCATTAGAGTATTAAAAGTAGATATATCACTAAATTTGTAAATATAGAGTGTAATTTACTAAAACTACATTTGCGCATTGAAGATGCTCTTACTTGTGTATATTCTCCCTATATCTGGAGTTGGAAGCCATGAGGTTGAATAAGAAGAAGAAATTTATTATTAGTCATTCTATAATGCTCAATATATATAATATTTCACTATAATAAAGTATGATATAAAGATAAAAGTTGAACCATCGATAGGAATCATTAAAAGGCCAAGTTGGCCCTTCCAGATTACCTTATTTAAGGTGGATGGTTCTAATTTAATGAAATCTATATATATATATATATATAAAGAGGAGCAACAAAGCATTAAATTATATTATCATGCATTAAATTTTATTCTCCCTCCAAAATTTTCAGCATTCAATTTCATTTTTAAGTTACAAAATAATTTGCTTGAATGCCATAAATTATGAGCATAAACCAATCAAGGGAGTTACAAAGTTGTACTCAAATTTTAAGACACACTCACTCATGAAAATGACCGGTTTATTAGCATAAAGAAAATGGTTGTAACGGCTCTTTCATAACAATTACTTGATCAAAATCAATTTTGAGAATTATTTTCTTAATTCATATATTTTTTTTCATGTATTAAATTATGATTTATTTTTATATTTTTTATATTGTTATCTTTTTAAAGTATTTTTTTCTGTGCAAAAATGCACATGTTGATTACTAGTGTATTGGACAACAAAGACCAAACCTCCAAATTACCTTATTTTTATCTTTAGATCAGTGGTGTAAATTAGTGAGATCGATTGAACGGTCAAGTGTTGCTATAATATGATATTTTACATACTGATTCTTTTTTGGTGTAAAAATTGAAGCAAGATTGTTGAAGACGGGTGCACCAAAATGGCTCTAAAGATAACCGTTCATGTAACTAAAAGATGAAAAAACAAAAGCTAATTTTTATTATGGTAGGCTTTAAAGTATATGTGAGACTAGCCATTAAAAATTTAACATTTGAGTTCGATTGCAACCATTTTTTTTTTTTTTGACGAAACGATAGAGATTTTATAGAACTCAAAGTGAACCAAGTTCGAAAAATACAATCCAAAACCGAAATAGAAAACTGAAAGGACACTAGTATACAATCCAAGTTCGATTGCAACCATTAAAAGGTCAAAAGTATACAATCTAGATTACCACCATTAATTTGACATTTAAGTTCGATAAAAAATATACAATCCTGATTACCGTCGTTAATTTGACACTAGTACTAATCTCGTACGATGCACGGGTAAGATATATTCTTTAATATTTAGAAATTAAAATTGCTCATTAAATAATATTTATAAGTTAAAAAATATAGAATCAATATTACATTTTACCTATATTAATCTATTGAAAATGTTATATAAAATTTAAAATTATGCAAAAGTACATAAAACATGTCTATTTAAAATTAGTACACAACATGTACGGTGCACATAATTGATAATAATTTACATTATACTCTTCAAAATAAGTGTAATTTTTAAAGATTTTATTTAGAAATTCGATTTGATTACAATGTGATTCAATAGAATAAATATTTTAGTAAAATTTTATCGTATATTCAAAAAACTATGTGAAAAGTATAGTTATAAATCTTATAGTATTCCATTAATTAGATGGTTTTATTTTTGAAGAAAAATTCAAATCAAAATATTGAAGTTGTTGAGTAATTTATTAAACTATGAATAATTGACTATTTACGTCAAAGTTAATGTTCACTGGTAAGTTATGAATAATTACTTATTTGACTTATGAATTTGGATCCAAATTTGGACTACACACCAAATTCCCTTATATATTTGATATATGAATATATATTATATATATATATATAATCTCGCAATTTTGTAGAGTTGTTGTCGATTACCTTATCATTCAAATTTATCAATTAACTTTCCAGAATTAAATTACGGATTTTTAATTTTATTAACCAATATTTCTTCAAATCTTATGGCAAGTTATTATCGTAATATGCTAAAATTTAAGAATTATATCACCTTGACTTTACAACAAATCAGCCTAAAATTTGGCTTTCATACTCCTACCAAATAAAATCATACCACTTATTTTGTTTAAAAAATTTCCAAATACACTTTTATCCCTACCAAATAACTATATTTCATGAATGATAAATTAATTTATGTAAATGTTCTTTTCCTACTAAACTAATAATTCAATTATTGACTCGTTACTTTATCAATTCAATGTCACATATACTTGATGATTGAAAAATTTATTTATATATATTTTATATTTTCTTAAATAAAATTTTCAAATAGATTACTATAATAAAAATTATATAGTATAAATTTTATCAATGTAAATTTATAATTTATTTTATAAGATAATTCTACCCTTATTTATTTTATTTAAATATTATCAATTAACAGAACTTAATTATTTATATTTCATGTCTAAAAATAATTATCTATTCCGCCATGTGTTATTATTTGAAAGCTTATATATATTTATTTTCTTTTGGTCTTTATCAAACTTAGAGTTTATTATTTAATTATTCTTACATTAGTGTCTCATACGATTTATGTATTGGTCCAACTATTTGGAAAGAACAACAATTATTTTGTAAACAAAAGGTGAAGTTCTCATATTGTTTAGAGAATAACAATTAGCAATTGAAAGATATTCTGTTTTTTAATCACATGAAAAATAATATCAACTAAAAGAAAAATGACAATTTCCAAGCCTATAAATATAATTACATACGTTACTTATTTATTTATTACATGATTGCTCATTTTTGTTTAATATTTGTCACTTGTGGTTCATTAAATGATACTCTACAATTATTTATAATAACATCAATGCAATTATCGTTTGAATAGCCATTTATTGCACTTAATAAGAAAGTTTCAATCACGTGTGTTTTAATGTAATGCTGCCGGCGTATTTTGAGGGGGATAAAACAAATTTGCTATTAATAGAAAGTAATTAATGCTAATCCATTTTGACTATTAATTTGACTTGCCATTTTTAAAAAATGATAATTCTTATTTTATATATATAGATTTGAGTATTAAATAAAATTGATTTTACACGTTATTTATTATAATCTATATATATATAATTACTAGCTCAAAACATTTAATAAAACCTATTTAATTTTACCTATGTGGCAATTTAACAATTTTCCCTCCAAAAACCGTTACACTTTGATGTATTTAATCTTTCATTTAATCATTAAATAATTAATACTCATCACTTTAAAATTACAAAAATTATTTTAAACTTTTGATTAATGACAGTTGACCATATAATGTGTTGACCGTATAATGTGATTAGATGTTATTATTGTTGTTACATTTAATTTTTTTTTTGAAAATAAAAAATATATCTGTATATATATAATTACTAGCTCAAAACATTTAATAAAACCTATTTAATTTTTACCTATGTGGCAATTTAACAATTTTCTCTCCAAAAACCGTTACATTTTGATGTATTTAATCTTTCATTTAATCATTAAATAATTAATGCTCATCACTTTAAAATTACAAAAATTATTTTAAACTTTTGATTAATGACAGTTGACCATATAATGTGTTGACCGTATAATGTGATTAGATGTTATTATTGTTGTTACATTTAATTTTTTTTTTTAAAAATAAAAAATATATCTAAATATATATAATTACTAGCTCAAAACATTTAATAAAACCTATTTAATTTTACCTATGTGGCAATTTAACAATTTTCCCTCCAAAAACCGTTACATTTTGATGTATTTAATCTTTCATTTAATCATTAAATAATTAATACTCATCACTTTAAAATTACAAAAATTATTTTAAACTTTTGATTAATGACAGTTGACCATATAATGTGTTGACCGTATAATGTGATTAGATGTTATTATTGTTGTTACATTTAATTTTTTTTTTTAAAATAAAAAATATATCTATATATATATAATTACTAGCTCAAAACATTTAATAAAACCTATTTAATTTTACCTATGTGGCAATTTAACAATTTTCCCTCCAAAAACCGTTACATTTTGATGTATTTAATCTTTCATTTAATCATTAAATAATTAATACTCATCACTTTAAAATTACAAAAATTATTTTAAACTTTTGATTAATGACAGTTGACCATATAATGTGTTGACCGTATAATGTGATTAGATGTTATTATTGTTGTTACATTTAATTTTTTTTTTTTTAAATAAAAAATATATCTATATATATATAATTACTAGCTCAAAACATTTAATAAAACCTATTTAATTTTACCTATGTGGCAATTTAACAATTTTCCCTCCAAAAACCGTTACATTTTGATGTATTTAATCTTTCATTTAATCATTAAATAATTAATACTCATCACTTTAAAATTACAAAAATTATTTTAAACTTTTGATTAATGACAGTTGACCATATAATGTGTTGACCGTATAATGTGATTAGATGTTATTATTGTTGTTACATTTAATTTTTTTTTTTAAAATAAAAATATATTTGAAATTTTTAAATAAATAATAAATAATTCACAAATAAAAGACGTACCAAAATAAACATTACATCCAATTAGATAAACGTAATTTTAAAAAAAATATTTCAACTCTTTTAAGTAAATTTGGTCTGCAAAAAAGTGAAAGAAAAATAATTAATCATTATATGCATACAGACTCACAATAATTTATTTATATCTGTGCAAATGCACAGGTCGCATACTAGTAATAAAATTAATTAATAACTAATAAGTCAATAAGCGGTAAAACCGGATTGAGTTCTTGGATAAGAGGCCGTCCAAAATGCCAAATGATGATCTTTTGTGTTTGTTATGTCTGTTTAATGAAGCTGGTATCTATTTTAGTGATCAAGAAAAGCCAAAGGGTGGTGTTTGTGTTGCTGCATGCTTGTGAGTATCTGATGTAACACATTAACACTAATGATTTTATTTTGTATTTGGTTTTTACTTTATAAAAATATCAATTGCAATTGAGTTGTGTGTACTAGGAAGCATTTTAGTCCTTGTATGGTTTTGTATCTTATCCATTTTCTAGTTCTAATGTTACAGAATAAATTTTGAAAAGTTATGAGGTTAGTATAAAATTTGAGATTGGCTTGGATGAATAATCTATGAAATAGTGACACGCATCATCATCATCATCAATTTTATATTTATTTTTGTTTTTAAATATTAGAAATATAAAAAAAAATGTTACCATTGTGTATTACAAATTACAACAATTCATTATTTGTGTTATTTCCCTGATAGGTCGGTTATGATCGTAGCTTGCATGCGAATCAACCTTTATTGTAGTGACCTTCGAGTTTTTATACTCGAACTTGTAGGAATTAGTCGACCAATGAAACAGTGATACCTTAAAAATAGGCGAAAATTATACAAGAGAAGAAAAAACATCCTTAATTTAAAGTTATGAAAAATTATTTATATGTAAAAATCATCCCCTTTTTACTTTAGGTAAGTTATTTTGTAATCCTTATAGGAATAGATATAAAACAACAATTTCATTAATCCTAATCGGAGTAGAGTATGTTGGCTTCTTCTCTATTTACACTAGACGAAAACCTATCCCTATTAGTAAAACATACTCCTATTACGATTAGAAATAGAATATGTTGAATAATGAATATGTTGCTTGGTCACACGTATATATATATATATATGGTCGATGTCTTACAAGTTTGTGCGTACCTTTCCCCAAAAGTTCTGCAATGTCTTGCGCACCTTGTCCCAAAAGGGCACGTTACACCGCGCCGCCGCCGTCCTTGTCCTCTTGCCGTTGGGCGGCTTGGGCCCACGACTCTCCAATTTCGGATCCAGGCGAAATTACTCCGGCATATGTCCCGACCCAAACCCAATCTGTCGATTCGCCGCCGGAAAGGATCACCGTCGATAGCATCGACGAGGAATTTACGATATTGAATAAGGTGGGCGAGGGGACTTATGGCGTCGTCTACAGAGCCCGCCGCCGATCGACCGGCCAGATAGTGGCCCTCAAAAAGGTGAAGACCTCCACAGCCACAGCCGACGACTCGGAGGTCGAAATCCTCTCGTCTCTAAACCCTCACCCCTCGATCATCCGTCTCGAGCAGGCGGCTGTCTCGGCCCGCGGGGCCGTCTTCACAGTGATGGAGTACGTGGAGCACGAGATCCGAGCCCTACTCGCCGGCACCATGAGGCAACCCTTCAGCCAGAGCGAGGCCAAGTGCCTTATGCTCCAGATCCTGCTCGGCTTAAACCACCTCCACCAAAACCGCGTCTTCCACAGGGACCTCAAGACCTCCAACCTCCTCTACAACAATCGAGGCGAGCTCAAAATATGCGACTTCGGGCTGGCCTGTCGGGCCCACGGCCCGGTCCCCCACACTCAACCGGTGGTCACATTGTGGTACAGGGCACCCGAGCTCCTGCTCGGAGCCCGAAGCTACTCCACGGCCATCGACATGTGGTCCGCGGGTTGCATCATGGCCGAGCTGCTTTTGGGGAAACCGCTGTTTGAAGGGAATACGGAGATTGATCAGCTGGCCAAGATTTACAGTGTGTTGGGAACTCCGGACAATAGGATTTGGCCGGGCTTTTCGGAGCTGCCGGGCAATGGGCCCAATAAGGTGAGGTTTATTGTGGGGCGGAGGCAGAATAACTCGTTGAGGCAGCTGTTTCCGAAGATGTCGTTTATCGGGTCGCCAACGCTTTCGGATGCTGGGCTCGACTTGCTTAAAGGGCTCTTAACGTACGACCCAAAGAGACGGATGAAGGCAGGGGAGGCTCTGGCCCACCGCTGGTTTCGAGAGGTACCTCTACCCAAGGATAAGGACTTTATGCCAACTTTTCCTCCTAAGCATTGTGACCGCCATTTTTAGGCCGATAATATTACTGTGTTTCCCTTTCTTGATGAAAATAGTACAAGTAGTCTATTAACATTTTGTATTCAGGCAATTTGCAGCGTGATTAGAAGAAGAGTGAGCCAATTTTCGCGGAGTACATTGGGAAATTCAAGATAGAATCTATTGGGTTCATGAAATTAAGCCTTGGGGATATTCCTCAATTAATTAGTGGTGAGATTTGCTTGTATAGTTATTTTTTGTTTGGTTAAAAATAGTTATCCATAGGATTTTAGTCTAATGAAAAGTGCTATTTTTAAAATTGAACTGCATTCATTATTTTCTATTTCAGCATTTCAAAATTAGAACTTGCATCGATGGGGCATTTATAAGGTAATGAGGAAAGTGCTTGAGGGGCACTCATTGTCTTGAACGGTAAAGTGATTCATAAGCAGGCTAAACTGCTGCTGCTATCTTGTAAGTTACAATTGAAAAGATGTCCACGAAAAAAAATTATGCACAACTTTAGTTTGAATGTGTTTGGTTGATGAGGGATTAAGAACATGTTCTTGTGTTTGAAGTTTGAATGATGTAAGTCTTCTATAGTTTAGCGCTTGGTCATTTGAAAGGAAATTTAGAAAGCTTGAAAAGAGAAAATCCGAAATCTGTCTTTGATGATTCTTACAGGTCTTAAAGTCTTTAGGACAAATGAGAAGGAACTTGTCATGGAACTCACAATACAATGGGCTGGCAATCCAAACATTGTTGTTGCAGTGACTATTTCGCCTGTACAAGTCACTGTCCAGGTCGGTCGAGTTCACAAAGTTAGTGTTCCTCATTAGGAAACAAAAAACAAAAAGAAGCAAGAGTTGGTTGAGTTTTTGGTTTAGCAACATGGTGTTCGTTACTTTGCAGTTATTTGATGTTCAAGTATTTGCTGCACCTCGGATAAGTTTGAAACTACTTGTCCCTACCATTCCGTGTTTTGCAAATATAATTGTATCATTGATGGAGAAGGTGAGTTTGCCTGTCATTACTCAACTGAAAATCATTTCAATCCTCTCTTAAATATTTTTCTTTTTTCTCTCTTGTTCTTTCTCTAACTCATTTCTTATGTATTCACAGCCATTTATAGACTTTGGGGGTAAATGTGTTGGGTGGGGACATCATGTCCATTCCTGGCCTTTATTGATATGTTCAGGCACTGTCGATTTTTGGCTAGTTCAACAGGGTTTCTTTCTTATCTGCTTTGGCATTTCTTGGAGTCTTCTACTACAGCCGTGATGCTCTCTCAAAGTTCTATATTCATAGCCTACATTATTACATCAGCAACCTATAGCTCGGCATCAGTTTGCAGTCAGTATTTTGAAACTGGATGGGTACTATTGCTTAATTCTCTTGTAACACTTACTCATGCTCCGTCATTAAATGTTCAGCTGATTTACAGAAAGCTACCCCATAATTTTAGCAAAAGTACTCAAAATAAATAAATAAATAAATAAATAAAAGCGAGAGAGTTTCTGGTTTTGTAAAAAATAAATATTAACAAATACACCCTCCCCCAAGTCCCCAACCCTGTTAGGGGTTGTTTTGTGTTTTTAAGAAAACAGTTTTTTCTTCCATAATTAGACTGAGCGCCGGTTGTATGTTTGTAGTTAACCCATAAAATATCTATTTAGCTGATATGTCACTTTTTCAGGAAAAGAGTGTTCTTCTAGCCGGGGCACTTTTTCTATGTCCCCTTAACCTCATCAACTACGCGCGCAAGGAGATGTCGTGGTCGAGACGGTGATTGGGCTACTTCCGGTTGAGAAATTTCGCGGTGCCCTTGAGTTTTTTGTTTGGGGTGCTCGGATGGGTGTAGGCTGGAGCTGGAGCGGAGGATCACACTCCTTTCCGGAGACTCAGCAAGCTTCGAGGCGAGTGGACAAGTAGAAGACGCGGCTCAAAACCGTTCATCCGCCCCCGTAGGCTGTGTATGTCTGAACAAAGTCGGAAAAATTTTAACCGATAAGATTTGAATCTGATTGTTAGTTCCGCTGCACGTAGGATTCTTTCCTTAGATTCTCAATTGATTCGAAGCATGATCATGGTCCATCATAGTCCTCGATTTATGTGTTATTTATCCATTTCTACTTTTTTTATGCCAATGTTGGTGACTGGAGATAACTCTCTTCAATTATTCCTGGGATGGGAGGGAGTAGGTCTTGCTTCATNGACATAACTCTCTCCAGTTATTCCTGGGATGGGAGACAGTAGGTCTTGCTTCATATTTATTAATTCATTTATGGTTTACACGACTTCAGGCAGATAAAGCAGCTATCAAAGCTATGCTTGTCAATCAAGTAGGTGATTTTGGATTAGCTCTTGGGATTTCGGGTTGTTTTTCTCTCTTTCAAACAGTGGACTTTGAAACCATTTCTGATTGTGCTAGTGCCCCCAGAAATTTTTGGATATTGTTGGCGTTCTTCACCAAATCTAACAACTGGTATTAGAGTCATGGTTAATTTCATGACTGTGTGATGATTAGAAGAGATCATTTGTGAACTATTTGAGTACGATGCGGCGCATAGTGGTGTAGAATTGTATGTTTGAGTTGCAAGGTTCTGAGATCTACTATTATGAGCACATGAATGTATGCTTTGACTGTTCATATGTGCTCGAAATAAAACTAGTGTGTGTATGAAATTATAGTTTCATTAAGGGTAATGTGATACTGTTCTACACCCAAACAGTGATACCCGTCCCACCACACACCCACTCACACGTGGACCCCACCTGACACATCACATATCTCTTTCATTCCACCCCCTCTTTCTCTCTCTCTCACACACACACGCCACATCACCACTTACACACAAACTCACACACACAGACACACAGTACCACACATGCACAACACACTATATCACGCATGCGCCCACACACACATTGTCTGATCGTCGTCCGCCTTCCGCCACCATAGTCTCGATGTTGCCGCCGTCGTCGTCACATCCGCCCGCCTTCACGTGAATAGGTGAGGAGGTTGCAACATCGTCGGAATTTTAGCTCGGCTTCACTGCGAGTCTGGCTGTGCGTGCATCTTCGGCCGAGACATCGTCGGAGTTCATCAGCCACATTTTGAATTTGTGAGGAGGCCGCGAGGCTTGAAAATCGACAAGCTACTTCCTGGAGGTCCTTTGGTTGCAGGTGAGGATGGAAAAGGCGTATATTGCCCCGTCATCTCCATATTTGGTGTTGAATCGTCGATCCGCGGGCTGCATGATGATGTGGAAGAATCTCGCGGGGAGCTGAGAGGGGTCGGTAGTCGAGCGCCGATTGACTGGGAATAAGGCAGACGGGAATCCAGGAGGGACGACGGGAATTGATTTTGGACATAGGGACACCATTTGAAAATTTTATAAGACACAAAGACTTAAATTTCAAAAATATTAATATATTGCAATGTAGTTCATGGGTCAAAACTGTAGTATACAAAAAATATACAAAAAATACAATATATTATTTTTTATAAAAAATATTATTTTTTATAATATAATATATTATATAAAAAATATTATTTTTTATAAAAAATAATAGGTTAATTCTATATAAAAAATAATATAAAGATATAAAAAAATAATAGGTTAATTATTTTTTATAAAAAATACAATATATATATATATTTCAGCCAAAAATAATATAAAGATATTAAATAAAAATATTAAAAAACTAAATATATTAAATAATAAATTAGTACAATTAATTAGGTTAATTCTATCAACCAACCGAATAACTCAATTATTTTGGTTCAATTTTTATTTTGCATTTCCATATAAGAAAACCCACACTGCATATCACACAATACTACTCAAAATGATGCACATTATTTACTATCACACTGCACAATAGTGTTGGACCAAATACACATTAATGCGTTCGAGAATGCACATTATCATAAAATTGTATCCCGTACAATAACACCGCGTGACGAAAAAAACACGTTATGATGGTTTTGCATTTTCACATATATTAAAACATCAGTTATTTTTGTTCAGTTTCAACTTTATGTACAAAAAAATATTAATAAATAAATAACATGACTGACCGAATTATATAAAAATGTATTAATTTTATATTTTGTCTATCTATCTATCTATATATATATTATCTATTTTCAACAGACAATAATATAAAATAAGAAATAGAAAATTAATATTTCTAAATAGATCTTTATAATATAAATAAATTAAGTGGATACAGTTTAGAGAGCATGAATTTAACATGGTTGATATACTACTTCTTATTTACATCTCACCCGCAGTTGCTGGAGTTGTTCATAATTGAAAATGAAAATTTAGCAGATGAAGGGGTATAACTATAACAATTGTCCATCATTTCGAAAAGGAATCATGAGCTTGAAAATCACGTGCCCAATATTCGGGAGAATCGTCCCAAAATTGTTCGCTCTGTCGAACATCAGTCCATCACCGCCGTTTCTTTTTCGCGTGCAACGTGACCGGAACAACCATTCTGCTCTCCGGATCCTTGCCAACGATTTTTGCTCCAACATATTTAAGAAGTTCACCATATCAAATTAAAGCAGTAACATCAATTACGCTAATGATGTCACGCCCGCATTCTTCATTATGCATCATACTTTCAACTCTCTTATATGCTTACAATAGAACAAGAAAGAGAAAGTACACAGAGACTATCATCAGCAACTTCAAGTACTGAAGAATTTGTATATCAGTCTGTGTGAGTGTTATCTTTATTGCTCTATTGTAGGCGTATAAGAGAGTTGGAAGCGTGATACATAATGATACAAGGTTGCAAAATTTGCTATTGACTCGTGGCAACTTTTCCACTTTTGATGTTAAGCCATCTTGTTTATGAGTTTGATATTGCTCTTGGCGATTAATAATGACTTCGATATCTCAAATGAAAGATCACACTTCGGAATTTTAAATAAAACTAAGTAAACTTCATAAGTCAGACTACTACGTTCGCTGATGTCACCTGCTCCATCAACCTGAAAACATTTCTAGAGAGAAATGGGGTTAAGCAAAAAATGCTTAGTGGGGTAATACATGTCACAATTAAATATCACATAGTCACCAAATAAAAACATGCTATATGACTTGTGAAATTTCCAACCTGTTTAATGTGCGAATTAACACACGTAGTCCTATTTTTTTACACGCTGACGTGGCGCACACGTGGAATGCTTAGTGGGGTAATACATGTCACAATTAAATATCACATAGTCACCAAATAAAAACATGCTATATGACTTGTGAAATTTCCAACCTGTTTAATGTGCGAATTAACACACGTAGTCCTATTTTTTTACACGCTGACGTGGCGCACACGTGGCGTTTCTGGCCGGAAATAGTAAATCCGACGAAAAAGTCCTACTTTTGATCATTTTTTAAAAGTTGTGGGACTATTCATATTTTCTGAATTCCGTCGGGACCAAAATTGTCACCCCCCTATACCTGTGGGACTAATTTTGAATTTTTTCCCAAAAAAACACGAAGCGAACAAGTCCTACTTTTGATCATTTTTTAAAAGTTGTGGGACTATTCATATTTTCTGAATTCCGTCGGGACCAAAATTGTCACCCCCCTATACCTGTGGGACTAATTTTGAATTTTTTCCCAAAAAAACACGAAGCGAACAAGTTTTTTAATGCAAAAATATTATCCACAACAATCTTACTTAAATGATCTGAATAATAACCAGCCACAGAATCAGCTTTCAAGTAGGAAACTAGGCTACTAGAATCTAGACAACAACCAACCATCTCTCAGCCCTTGCTCACAACCACTTCTAAAGCCCATCTAACAGCTAAGAGGGTGGCCTCCACCTGATTAGCAGCACTTACTTGGATTCTTTCCCCTTTACAGTTTTTGTCCGAGGATCATTAGGTCGTGAACCCGACCTCCTATCCTATCTATTATGGCCCTTCTGATGGCGTCCTTGACCTTGTCCTAACTGACCTTACCTTTAGGCCCAACTTGTCCCCAAACCACCTGACCTTGATGTGTGTCAAAGTTGGCTACTTTACGAGACTCCTGGAGGCTAGTGCCTCCTGGACCCATGTCCGAGCTACACGACCAAACACCTTTTCTCTTATCCTAAGGGAGTTCTCCTAGATCGTTCATAGTCGAGCTGCTCTCTTAGATCATCATACCGAGTTGTTTTCTGGGTGTTATATCACATTCTAGGTTCAAAACAAGTTTGCAATATTCCNGGTTATTTGAAAAATTAGTGTTGGTTATGATCAGAACCTTCAGTTATCGGTAACTTACCATTAAACTTATACATTATGGTGAAATAAAACATAATAAAATAACTTAAATCAATTTGTAAAGTTACATTTAATTTTTTTTTCTGATTTAATTTTTTTCATTTCAGTTAATATTTTTAAGATTTTAATTTTTTTTCAAAAATATTTTAAAAAATGCATTCACCCATAGGCCTATTGATATTTAAATTTTTCCTTTTAATTTTTATAATCATTTAATAAAAAAAATGAGAGTTGTCATTCAATAAAAATGTTGACATGGCATCATCGAACCACGTTGCATTATTGAATGAGAAACCCATTCAACAGAAGTTGATATAAAATATAAAATAATTTTAACTTTATATTCATATTTTATATTTTTAACTTTATATGCATACTAAGTGCTAAATACAAAAAATATTCATAAATACTTAATTTATTATTTCATATGTGAAAATTTGAAAAAATGACCAATAAGTATTGAATTATATATGATCACAATATTTACTTATTTAATAATATAAAAGACAAAAAAAAAAGTCATTTAGTTCATTAATATACTTTTTTTAATAATACATGAATATAGATGTAGATTTATGGAGTGTCTTCTCATTAACAATATATATTTTGTCTGAAAAATATGATGAAAATCTAAATAGTTGTTAAGTTTATTAAAACAAAAATATTAATATTTAAATATAGATAAATTAAGAGCCTAACAAATTTTACACTATTTTCAAACTTAAGCTTTCCATGGAATATAATAATTATTTTATAGTATTTTAGAAATTATTAATAATTTATGTTATATTTATATTTGAGAAAAAATTACTAAAAGCAGTAATATTAGTTGATTATGGGAACTTCAATATTTTGACCTATTAAATGTGTAAATAAGGGTAATTTCAAGGCGAATAATTAAAGTTTGTTTTTACCCTTTTTTATTTGTTAACAACAAAAGATATTAAAATCACTAATATGGTAAGCAAACTTTGAAAATTACATTTTGAACAAATTAGGAAAACATTTAGATTTTGATCAGTAGAATTATTATTTATGATATATTTTTATTTGACAAAAAAATTAATAAAAACATTAATATTAGTGGATTAGGGAAACTTAGACATTTTGACCTAGTAAATAAGCAATACGGAAGATTTGAATATGGAAAAAATATACTTGTTAAAAATACCATTTCACGTATACTATATATATTATTTATGTTAATTTTTTATTATAAAAAAATTACTATAGAAATAAATAAATTAAATAAAGTGAGAAAATTTCCATAGATTTATTTACAGAGAACATTATCTCTTTAGTAATATCCATATTTATATCTATATAGTGGACCAATCCATATTGTCATAATTGACATTGTTTTGAGAAAGAATTTTTTTCATCTATATTTGGCATTCAAATAAGTTTTACTCAAATAATACTCCTGATGTTTTATATCTTATATAATTGACAAAATCTATTACTGTCATTCCATTTATCATTAGTTTGAACTAATAATTTTAATTCGGTAGTCCAAGTGACTATTAAATCTTTTGCGTTGGTTGCACAACCTATTTTTAATATTCCATTAAATATATTTTTTTTTTTCTAAATATGCTGGTGGTAGGTATATTTTGCTTAATTTTTTCTTGATGATAGCTATAATCATTTCAATATATGATATCTCTAAAACTTCTTTCTGCATAATTATTTTGTGAATTAGATATTTCATTGTTATTTGTTCTATTTAGTTTTTGTGATAATGGTGGTGTGATATGAGGTTATTCATTAGTCATATTATTCTTTGTTTATCCTCATCATCTATTTTTGTCATTCTAGTTTCTTCAATATTACATTTTTCTAATAAGTGGGTTAATCTATCTATATCATGTACTTGTTGGCGGTTCTATTTGAACTGATTTAAATATTTTTTTCCGTATTCTTTATTTTTCTACTAAATCTTGTAATTCTTTTATTGATTCTTTTATATCTTCCAATTTTTCTAATATTTCTAATTGTGTTTTCTTTATTATTTCTATATGTGTTTCTATCTTTATT